AAAATAATTAGCAATTTAATAACATACGGGGAAAACAATAGTCGAGTTTTTCTCGGCCGCTATAGAACTGAGTGTCTGTAAGTACCGGAGCTGTAGAGCCGCGGGTGTGTCTGATATGACATCAGCCGCCTCTTTGAGAGCTCTGGAGGCCCTCTGTTCACCCTCTGCTGCTATCACCTAAAATATAGACAACGAGTATAAACATTATGAATATCACAAAACACATGACAATTGTGTGACAAACCTTAGCTCTGGCCTCGCGGGCGGCCTCAGCTTCGGCAGCCATAGCCCTCTGCAGTTGCACCGGTAGTCTAACGTCTTTTCTAAATACATATTATAAACAACTCATAAATAAGATGATAGTAAAAATTAGTGAGAAGGTAAAAGTTCAGCTCACATCTCAACCCTCTCCACTTTGACACCCCAGGGGTCGGTCGCCTCGTCCAGCGAGGACTGCATCACATGCGATATGGACTCCCTTTCGCTGAGTATTTGCGACAAATCTCTGGTTCCCAATACGTTTCGCAGTGTCGTCGCCGCCAACAGTCGTGTACTGCGCCCGTAGTCCTCGACATTACTCACGGCTACCGTTGCGTTACTGATCCGATAGTAGACCACTGTTTGCGAGCGTTTCATATAACACATGAGTATATTAGGAGTTGTTTTAGTTATTGGTCATAAATACCGGCGTCAACCGCTACTGTCACTGAATCTTTCGATAAGATCTAGTTATAAAGTGATTCAATACGTTATTATAGAATATTCTGTACGTAATATAAAACATATAGGGCTCACCTCCTGTGGTGGCACATCAAAGCTGACTGTCCTTAAGTCGACTCTGATTTATAAATAATTATAATTAATTAGATATCATTTCAATCAAATAATTATATAATATGTTAACATTTACATAACATAACATAAATAACTTACTTGCAATATGAATCAATACATGGTATGATGAAAAATATGCCAGGTCCTTTAGCGCCACCCCTGACCAAACGACCCAGACGGAATATAACTAATGATTAAATTGATTATAAATATTTATCAAAAACATAGAACACAATAAATTACCTGCTCTTTCATATTCCTGGACTACCTGTTAATTAAAAGTTAATAATTATTTAATATTATAATAATTAATGTAATCTAAAAACTGTTATTAAAACAAATTGTTATTTCACATGTTATTCATTTAATTCACAAAATAATATAAATATAAAATATTAGTAATGTAAATATTTTAAGTACGTTATAAACAAACGTTATAAATAAGCTTATTAAATTATTTACATAATATTAATGTTATAATTCCAATATAATTATATTAATAATATTCAATATTTTTGCACTTAATTCCTGATTTATATTAATAATTACTTTATTTTCAAATTTCTATTTGTTTGCGATAAACAAATCCATAATAATCAATAGATAACACGAATATACTTAACATTAATTAACATTAAAATTAATTAATATTCTAATGTGTTTATTATTTATTTAACTTATAAAACTTATATCGTAGAAGCATATTTAACAAATAAATTAATAACTAAATAAATAAATTAAAATTATGTAAATATGTTATTAATTAATTAAAATTTTAATATCACTTATAAATTAATTTGTCAATTAAATAAGCTAATCAAATAATAATATTAATATAATTATGTTAATATGTTGTATTATAAGTTACCTTGATACAGAGGAACAATGAGAAAGGTAATGTGACAATGATTAGTATCACAGAGATTACTGTCAATAAGAAGGCGCATAAACCTGGACTCTCGCCAACCGTCGCTGTAATAGACAAACCAGAATTTTATTTAACATTAACTTTCTTAACTATAAAAGCTATATTATATAGATTATTATATTAATCAAACATATATATAAATATTTACATTAATTGTGAAGAAGTCTTATGTTAAACATCAATAAGTTTAACACATTTCTACCCTCAAGACATTGTTGGGTTAAAGAGGAGATTGAATTCAATATACTGTATAAACTATAGTTGCAAATTCAATATCCGCTACTTTGTACCCAAAAATCAATCATGAAACATCTTTCTGTGAATTAGTTTAATACCTAGAGCAATTTTTGTTATATTATAAATTAAATTAATTTTGTTAGAATAAACAAACAAACAATAAACATTGGCAATATTCATTTTGGAAATTTTATCATAATTATTTCTATTTTGCTATTTCAATATTATTACTAAATGATTGCAATTGAAATATAAATTCTATCATTTAAGTGCTTTAATGAATATTTCTGTATTCAGTCTGTTTTATATTAATAATTCTTTAATACGATTTTTAACCTCATAAAAGTCATTAAATTTTTAAAATAAATTTGAATTTAAATTATAAGATTATATTATGTTTCGAAAACAAGTCTACAATATATTTTAATGTTTGAATTAAAAGTTTGTGTTCAGATCACGAAATAAAAATTATAATAATTGACTTGTTTTCAAAATTCATCACAAAATATTGTAGGAATATATAATGTACTGTACAGTATAATGTAATGTACTGTATAGTATTAATAAATGTTTTAGTTGTAAGTAATTATATTTTACCAAAACATCATCATGATAAACATTATCTGTATAATGAATTAGACCAAGATTCTTAAAACAGTGTTATATGAAATATTCACTAAATTAAACCAAAAATACTTCAAATAATAAAATATATTCTAATAAGAAATCATTATTTCGATAATAACTTAATTAAATATAGTATATAATAACAAATAGATAATTAAATGAACATATTGTATGACATATTCTATAATTAATTATTTTTGCCATAATTAATATAACGATAAAATAATTATAATTAATAAATTTATAAAATTATAAATTATTATTTAACACAAAAAACACATTATTAAATGACATAGATATTTGTTGTAAAAACACACCATCACTCACTGTAACTATTAATTAAACCAAAATATTTTATATAATCATGGTGTAAGTGATATATAAAATTTATTATTTCCTAATTCACCCTAATTGAATCAGCTTTATAATATAAATTAAAACTATAATAATGAACAATCAATAATACATATTTAAAATTACAAAATATTGACAGAGATATATTGTAGAATGAAAGTTAATTTTAAGCCCCTTCGCAACCCTTCTTACGTTGCATACATGAATGCAAATGTTAAAAGTATGAAAACTCATATACGAGGTGATAATAAATTAGTTATGATATGATGTGTGATATAAATGATATATGTATTTATATAGTAGATGAGGGGAAGATGTGTCAGACCTTCATCATCGCAATGTAGTGCAGTTCTACCATCATCTTTGGCATAGATGCTGGCACTCACTGGATGTGGTTGTGGTGTCGATGCCGGTGATGTTTGCATTATTATTAATATGCGTTCAGACAGTGTTTATGGAAAATATAACTTTTTAGCGCACTTTTCATAACACAAACACCTTTTAATTTTATATCAATACTTCGTTTTGTTCGTACGGTATTTGAGGCAAAAAACTTTATATAGATGTATAACTTATATATTAGTTTAGATAGAAATTATAAGTTTAATTTTTAAAATGATAAATTAATCGAGGTAATTGAGCAAATATATTATTAGAGCTTGGTGTAATGATTGTCATAAATATGTCATTTCTATGATCAATAATACCTTTACACTATTTGTTAATATAGTTTATATCGTGTTTTTAAAAATAATACAATAAAATGTATGTTTATATTGTATTATGCGAATGGCATTGAATTCAACAATCATCATAATGTACAAAATCCTATTAAGTATTATTATTAGTATTATTATAACAATACATTTGAAAGTTCTTGTTTTCCATTAAATACTAAGCAAAGTATTTCACAGAATATTATTTCATTGATTAAAGAATAGAAATTTAAAATTCTGTTAACAGAATATTCTGTTGTGAAAAACAAAATAAAAAACTTTTGCTTATTATCCGCAGTAATATCTCTTTATAACACTATTTAAACCAATGACGAGATCAACAAAATATTATCGCTTTAATTATTAAACACAAAATATTAATTATATATCAAATTCATAACAAAAAAAATAATTTATCAGTGAATTAAAGGTGTTTAATATTTTATAAAAACCGGATATTATGTTATGATATATCATATCTAAACACGAGTTAATATTACATAAGCGGTAGAAACGACACACATATTCACACCAAACACACACACATGAGATGTGTTCAACACATTGAATACTACTGTTTTAGTGTTGCAATGAACACACCGTTCAATATCACAAAAGTCTACATGTGCTCTACATTATGGTACAGTGAGCTGCAAATTGTTATGTGAGCCTGTCTTATAAAAATCCCAGCGAAGCAACTGTTTCACTGTCTTAAGAGGACTACTGTACACACGCTGTGTTTTCACCTCTCATACACCCCCTCCCCCTCCCGATTCATAGGACAAGCAGTGGAAATAATTTGCCCGCAAACTAAATTTAAATATTTGTTAATTACCGAATGGTTAGTACGTTGTCCCGGGTTAGTACAGTGACATAATAACACATAATTAATTTAAAATGTTCTTGATTGGTTAGTAAATTATAAAAATAATAATCACAATTTGAGGGTACATTACCCATTTGATTAATATACGATATGCCAAGTTTTAATGAGAATATTCATTGCAAAATCAGTAAACATTTCATATAATTATTGTAGGAAAAAACTTTTTTTAAAAGTAGTAAAAATAGACTATTTATAAATTTTTTTTATGTAATGTTATTTATTGCCGCAATAGTCTGAAACCCCAACCCCTTGTGGGGCTGTTATAAGAGGGGGTAATAATAGGAGATGAAAGCGATAGCGAAAACTCTTATTCAATGAATCGCATAATAAGTGCTCACAAAAGAAAATTCTTTAAAAACAAAACAGTGTTTTGAAAATTCTTGCGATTAGTTTCACTGATAATAAGCTATTTTTCACTCCATCTCCCAATCCATCGGAAAGGGGGTGAAGAGGGAGACAGAGATAGAGAGGGAAAGGGAGGCGTCTGTCTATCAGTCAATTGTGTTGCGATTTTTTGGCACAAGTAGTGTATATCACACTCCGTTTGAGTGCGAAAACTGATAAATGAGCCGTTAATACGCTTTTAAGGTTTTTATATACTGTTTAGACCAGTGTTTGGAATTGGTTTCGATATATTGTATATATTTTTAACACATCAGTTGTGCCCACGAATTGTTATCAGTCTTTTTTTAGATACAAGATTGTATATACAATTGTGTATACTATACATTTACACAAACTAAAATGTTTTGTTTTTATATGGTTTGTCAAACTAAACACAACCTATACCTTAACCCTTAACATTAAACACAATTTTTTAACAAAATCAAATATTTGGCTCACTTTCTGATATATTTTGTTTGATCCTTAATTTGGATACAAATGTCTAGATTTAAAAGCACTTCTGGAAAGTGAATAATTGATTGACTGTTGTTTTGTGTTGTATCTTATATTTAAGTGCTCTCTCTCTCTCTCTCTCTCTTAAGAGGACTACTGTACACACGCTGTGTTTTCACCTCTCATACACCCCCTCCCCCTCCC